CAAATCACGCCCAAACCTACTTTGAGATCTACCATCTTAATTGATGTTTGTGGCGGTTGAGAGAGCGGCCATCTCACTCACCATGTTCATCCATGAAATCAATTTAAAAATACCTCTTGTACATAATTATTTACATAATGTTTTATATAATGATAATAATTTGTCAATGTGAAGTTATTTGATTGATGAAATTTTGATCAATTAAATCTCATCACATCATTTGTTGGTAAAGCATTATGTAAATTGTTATGTATATGTACCCCAATCGAAGAAAAAAGGCAATGAACAAGGGACTAATCATTTACACATGTAAGAATAATCAACAACAGTATAAAGAATTTCAAATTATTTCATGGATTCTTTTCATGTCTCTTTCATCATAGCTTTTCCTTTTTTCTTTAATTACCAGAAAAAGCAGTAAAACATACAATCATAAAGTTAAGAAAATTCAAGCTGCAAAATGTACTGGTGATTCTGTATGACTGATGCTGCCCAGTGCCCACAAATAATTTCACTCGGACAAAAAAAAGTTGAAAGCTGATTCTTTCATTCTCGTCAAAAAGGAATAAAACTCGCACAACTGAAAATTCAGAACAATATGCCTTCTATTTTATTCTCCCACTGTCAGCCCAAACCCAAACCCAAACTTTTAATCTTTTTTTACCAAACCAAATCACGCCCAAACCTACTTTGAGATCTACCATCTTAACTGATGTTTGTGGCGGTTGAGAGAGCGGCCATCTCACTCACCATGTTCATCCATGAAATCAATTTAAAAATACCTCTTATACATAATTATTTACATAATGTTTTATATAATGATAATAATTTGTCAATGTGAAGTTATTTGATTGATGAAATTTTGATTCAATTAAATCTCATCACATCATTTGTTGGTAAATCATTATATAAATTGTTATGTATATGTACCACAATCGAAGAAAAACGGCAATGAACAAGGGACTAATCATTTACACATGTAAGAATAATCAACAACAGTATAAAGAATTTCAAATTATTTCATGGATTCTTTTCATGTCTCTTTCATCATAGCTTTTCCCTTTTTCTTTAATTACCAGAAAAAGCAGTAAAACATACAATCATAAAGTTAAGAAAATTCAAGCTGCAAAATGTACTGGTGATTCTGTTTGACTGATGCTGCCCAGTGCCCACAAATAATTTCAATCGGACAAAAAAAAGTTGAAAGCTGATTCTTTCATTCTCGTCAAAAAGGAAAAAAACTCGCACAATTGAAAATTCAGAACAATATGCCTTCTATTTTATTCTCCCACTGTCAGCCCAAACCGAAACCCAAACTTTTAATCTTTTTTTCCAATGATCTAGCTGCAATGTACATTTGTTCCAGATGTTAGAAACAAAAAATGACTAGGGACTAGGAAACCAACTACTATGCCAGAATGAAAGGAGATTGTTACATTAGACACTATCTATGTTTGGGTAAGCTTAAAAGTAAGTCAAACTTAATTTCCCGATCAGGTCTTAAGCTTCATGATGGCAAATTAGTGTACTGGTAAAAAATTTATGCTAAATCTCAAGATTTAAATAAGATCTAATAAATAACGATATTTCACATCAACAATGCTTATTATAAAACGAGCATTGCTGCTCATTCGATCATTTTTCTATACATATATGTTTCGATCTTTTACTATATGTTTGGTATTTCTTTTATTGGCTTATAAGCAGTGTGTTCTAGGGAATGTGGGGATAATAAGTAATTTTTATAAGATATATGGTAAAAAGTACTTTTAATATTGCTTAACTTAAGGCAAGATGGCATCGCTCTTGCGTAGCCCTAACTTTGATAATGTTTGGCTATGCTCAAAGGATTTTACTACTTTGATAGAAAAATTATAAGAGATGCAGTAACATAATCCTAGTTAACAACAGATGATTCAATAGGGATGTTAACTGTGTTTAAAACGGTCCAATAATGAGACATCATGTGACATTATGTCAAGGATTATTGTTAACAATTATGTTACTGTAGCATGATTTATGCTCAAAAGTATATTTTAAGTTTTGAGTGTCTTGAAATAATTAACATTCGTTTTGATTCTTTGACGAGATAATATGTGACATTGTTTGTCTTTTCAACAATGCTAAATGTAATTAAAAGTTTGATATATTGTTGACACTTTATTGTTTTCAAAAAAAACGTTGGCGAGAAAGTGTGTGTTTTACTAAAACTGTTCAATGTGATCTCACCACGTGGAACGGTGTAAAGGAAATTACAAAAAATCAGAATTTTCAATTTTCAATTTCAAATTTCAGATATAAACTTTATTTATACAAAAATCATATATTAATTCATCCACTTCATCTATCTTCTCCCCTAAATCATAGTTACCCAAACCTAAAACCTAAAGCCCTAATTTTATCCATCTTCTTCCCCGCCAGTGCGCTCTATGTGTGTGTGTGTGTGTGTTGTACCACCACCGGAGCCTTCCTCATTACGCTGGCTATTGGAAGCACGGCCTTCCTCATTGGACCAGAGCAACAACCTTCCTCACTATTGTTGGAAAAAACTGGAAATAAACTGAGTTGTGGGATGACTGGGGTGCTAATTTTGAGCGGGATCCACTTGGCTATTTTGGAAGATAAAAGTTTATTTGTATTCTTCTCCTTGAATACATCGAAATCATATACTTATCAAGAATTATGCTTGGGTGAATGAGAAATTGAAACTCAAAATATGCCATGTGAAAGAAGTTTATATTGGTGGAAAAACTAAAAATAAGGTTTGTCCCACATAGGAAGTGGATGAAAACTAAAATCACTTTATAAAGTATTACACTTTAGAATGGTGTAATCATGTGTAGCATAGAGGCTCTCTCCACTTGCACGTGCGGGGAGGGTGCAAATCTTGGACAGAAATAGGTTTCGGACCTTGAACTTGTGTGCGGGCGTGACCTGCGTACACGAATGTCGGACTGAAAAGAACAAAATTGGCCCCTTAGGAGTGTCTACGTTTTGCTACATTTTTGTTAATTTTCAACAGACTTTTGATTTTCCAAAACTGTTGAAACTCCTGTTTTAATTGCTATGAAATGAATGGGCAGCCAATCTTTATATGTGTCTCATTTTTTCCACAGTTCAGTACACGAATTTTCATCTGCATACAGTTTCTATTTTCTTGCATTTTCTATTTCTGTTTGAGTCTGTGGTGATATTTTTCAGACAATTATTCATTTCGTCGGAGTAGAATCTGTTGTGCTCGAATTTTACTGGTTTCTCCGTTGTATCCTGTGAGACAGACGCTCGTATCATACCTCAAGC